TGTCCCGCCCGACCAAATACAAATGTGTCATCAATATATTTGTGCATATACACGGTCAGGGCGGAACAATTGCGTCTGCAGGCGACTAAATGTATCCGGAGAATTGGAAAATTCCAGGGACATGACCAGCCACTCCGAAAGCAGATCGCTTCGAAATGAATCGCTATAAGCAGGATATCATTTGCTCGCATGAGCAATTGATAGTTAACCATCGACCAGGTTGAGAGATTTGTACATATTACATTCTGTCATGTTGTTCTGAAGGACGTTCTTTCTAGGAATATGAGTTCGTGGCGAAACAATGGTCGCATTAAGCTTAATATGAGCATGTAAAATGCGCCACTTGCCATTTGGGTTTATGACACAAAACATCGGTGTAAGATGAGGACACTAAATTTCCTGCACCATATCCATCGCTTCCTTAGCATTTAAAAATCTCCAGTGACGTCACATTGTTCTTTTGGTAAAGGCCATTGACTTGTAACACATTGTATGGTTCCCAAAACCAAGTTAACAATATGACGTACGCCCCTATCGGGAGGTTATACAGACGATGAATAATGGCGTACCACGTCTTAATATTTTTAATCCAAAGGGTAGTAGGGGTAAAAGGATATCTATGAATAGGTTAACCACTTCGGTCTCTAAAAGCCACCTTTGAAGTTTCAAGGACCTTCTCATCCAATAGAGACAAGAGTTATAGTTCATTATCGGGTACAAGGACCATCATATCCGATAATCTCTTGCCTGTAAGTCCTTACTGAACTAATCAGCAGACATTTCTTCTAGCTCTAGCAAAGCAGATAGCAATGAGAAGGCCACAAAACCAGCTCCACCATCCACGTGATATGTAACACCATCGACCAATGTATTAAGATGATCTCTAGTATTGCTAAGAGACATTAATCCGATTTTTGTCTCTCAGCCGCTATTTGGCGTTGCTGCCCTCTCTGTAAAGAGACTGAAGTCCTCGGTGAGGGCGGGCCATCAGTTTTTACAAGATCACTAGCTTTATCAGTCTTAGAGTATCTAAACTAGATCTGATGTCATTACCGACACCCGGCTCATATTTAATTAACCTAAACTCATCACCCGGCGATTTATCCTCCACTATACTCACATCAGACCCTTGATGTCTTGGTGTCTCTCTAAAAAACGCCACACCAGCATTCAGTAAGGTGCTATGACGGCCGCCCTCACTCTGTGGATGTTCACGTGCCACCTCAAATGCATCAGAGGACCCTCTCTCTTGATGCGTGCGCATTTCGCCAGCAATTTCATTGCCAACTTACATTAAGGTCCTATTGCAGCATACCTCGATTTGTGGATGATCACGTGCCACCTCAAATTCATCAGAGGACCTTCACTCTTGACCGCGGGGCATTTCGCCAACAATCTCGTGGCCGACATTCAGAAAGATGCATTTGCAGAAGACCTCACTCTACGGATGTTCACGATCCACTGGACATATGTCGAAGGGATCACACCCTAAGGGAATACACCTGGGTTCATCAATGCTATCAGCATCCAGTAGTTAATAGTAATAACACGTGCCACTTACCGAAGTATTTTGTCGCCTCACTATTCGCATTGACATTAGAGTCAACTCACTCAGACAATTCGATTTATAGCACACTAACGTGCTCAGTCAGTGGCTCGCGCCAAAAAAAGCTATTATGGTCGAGCAATAGTGGATTCATGACTACCCAAAGGCTCACTAAAAGCACTACACATTGCGCCTATGGTCTTAGATCTCTAATCATGCTATAACTCGTGCGTTTCAGCCGGACAAAACCGAGAATGAGATCATATCTCAAGTTTAACGCCAGGAAAAGAGAGCGTTTGCTGTTGTCAAGGTCTAAAAACTATACCTAAGCATGACGAAACTTACAATACGGTGACACGGGTCCCACCTGCTAGACGCACTGTGATAAATCAACTTTATGTGCTTTCAACGCTTCAGCGTACTGCTGAATGCCTTCAAGGGAACGGTGTCACACCTAATTTTTCGACGCCCCGGAGCTGATCAAAATTTACCATGGCTTATCAAATCCCTTCACCGTTGATTCTGCAATCAACAAGCCTGTCTTGTACTCACGCTTTGTGAAAACTTTCATGAAGTCTTTTAAAGATAGGCCCTGTTCCCCACTAACCTTCAGAAGGTAAAATAGAGCCTAAATCCACCCAAGCGGGCGACCCCGGTCCTACTGGTACTCTGTGTTTTTTCGCGCCTTACTGACGCGTTGGTTAGCGACGGGAGGTCGGCTCGAATGAGCCTGTCTGGTCCTTCTGAAAGGACAATTGGGGCAATGATATTTAATGCTTCCGCACGTAAAACACCTACGGATGTTCGGACGATGTTCGACAGCGTAGAGACCAGCTTCTTCGTCTCTCTCAGCGAGACTAAGGTCCATGAGTTCCATAAGATGAGCATTGACCGACTAGTTCAATCGGAAACCGGGAGTCCCATAACTGGCAGCTTTAGAATTGATCTCTGCATTCAAAGCTGTGTCCACGGCACCCTCAAATGTCGAGGGTTGGGCTCGGAACACTTCTGTTTTAGAAACGCCAGTGCAAAGACCCCTTTATAAAAGTGGTTACCGAAACCGTCTTAGGTAAGGGTCAAGCTGCATATTAGTAGTGAGAGTTCGCAGCTCCTGGATTAACGACTAAGTCCTTTTTACCCTGGCGGGTTTACAGGAAGCGTGATCCCTGCACGCGATGTGCCTTATTACGTGGGGAAACACCCGAAACAGTTGCTATTTAGCATGTCCCAGGTGGGAAAAGACTCGTCAATAGAGGTATTAAAATGAAGGATCACTCCCTGCCTCTCCCGCCTTAATTTGATAGAGCCAGAACCACCTTTTGCTGCCTTGACCGCAGCAGGACCGAGCTGATGGCAACGTCCATCTTTTGAACCCACAAAAGAGGATTTCTGCCTCTATTGCCTATATTGTACTGATGCTTAAGACCAGAGGGCGAGTCCTTGACTCCGTGTCCGGTATTAAAACATACCGAGTGGGCATGGCAGATGCCAAATGGTCATGGACCTGTCCAATCAACGTATACTCATAGTTCGAGAAGGCGTCAAGACGTGCAAGAAGTGCATCCGGACCTGCGCCTTTATAAGAGCCACTTGCACGTGCTCGATAATCGCTTCTCAATTGTGATCTGCTGGGCTTTAAAGAGGTCAATGGCCATTTCCATCCTCGTAAAAAATCCAGTCTGTGAAGACTCAGGTGTAGATCGACTACAAGTGCTACCAGGTGTCGCGGAGCTACTCAGCTCTCCTTGACAGAGGAAGTCGTAGACTCAAAGAGTATCTTTGTTATCTTAAACTAACAATGACGTACAGTCTTTCAAGCGTACAAGATTTACAATCCCGGTTCCGAAGGGATGACGATTCACAAAATCACACACTAATTAGTCAGTACTAGCTAAACAAGAGTAAGCGCCTTACAAGGCTAGTGCTCTTAACAACACACTACGCCTTTACTAGGCGCTTGTATCCAACGATTAAAAAGAGAAATGAACGTCGTTTATTCTTTAACTAAGGGAAAAAAGCACAAAACGTTGTCTGACTATCTCCTACAATTCGATCCTATGACAGAAGTCTTATCCCTTATCCCTAACCGATAAGGTTCGGTATTACTTTAAGTACATGGTACCAATACTGTACCACTCAGATCCACGGATCTTTACTTGGTGTGGGCACACAACATAACAAGTTCAATAACCGCCATGTAACCCCGTTACATAAACTATGCCACTTCTTCCGCTTCGTACGCACCAGATTGGCGTTTCCAAAGTGACGTTTAAGCACTCTATTATACTGGACAAAGCGCTTAATTTGTGGTTTTCATTACATTGTGCAAAAGCTGCCATCTGCACCGATGTAGATAGCTGAAATTTATATTTACACTCTCTCACATAACGGCCTGAAAATTTCAGACTTGCAATGATTGACCTTGGGTATAGGACACGACCAGATAAGGTAAAACAGCCTTCAGTACCCAGTAAAACGGTAAATGTTAGTGGTAAAAAGCGAAGGGTCGTCAACGGGTAGGGTAGCAGGAAGTGTAAGGATCAAGCCAATCTCGCTACCCGAGCACCCAGTAATTACAGGTTAAGAAATCTTTTAGTCTGACGGTAGGGCTTCTAGGTAGCAATCTGCGCGTTGTAAGTTGCCCATTGTAACGGGGTAGCCCGTTACATGAAATTGACACCAAACGGTGTCAATTGGAGTATTGTCCAGTATGACAATTTTCTACCGATATTATCCGGGACAGATAATTTTAAAGGAATTTTATCCCCTTGTAGGACAATATCCAAGCGCTGCTTCAAGATTGGTTGTTATTAGACTTATCAACCATAGATTACCACCAATCGCTGCTAGACGCGCGCAATGAGTGGTGAGCAGGTTGTCGTCATACGACAACGTAGTTTAATACAGTTAGATAAAGATTAAAGTTACATTGATAGCTTAACTATATGAAATACAGTTCCCTTTTTACCTTTACTAAACCGAGTCGTTCAAGTAGTTAGCTTCCTCTGCACGCACTAGTGTACGTGAAGTTTCACGGCACCAAAAACAAAGGGTGCCCCGTTACACCTGGTAGCACTTTGTAGTTCGTCCAACGACTACTTAGTGTCCGTCCAACATGAACATGTTGGACGTAGAAGACGACAGCTTTCACGTCACACCTGAACGCTACTTCCATTTTAGTGACTCAAATTGGGAGATAGTCGGCTGCACGAGTGTGCTCATGGGTGAAATCGCCATCAGTGGTATGTTGGAGTCTTTAAGCAGAGACCAGCAACATGCTGCCATCAACAAGTTCCGACAATGGGAAACATGCCGTCAAAAGAAAGAAGATAGCCTTGCTTCACCAACAACGCTCTTATCATTCAATTGGCGGGATAACGCACACGCTTCGACCCGAAACCTTGAAGATTGACATCTCAAGGTACAAGGGAACCGATGAAGATTCTCTTTTGCAATGGATCGTCGAGTCAGACGATGCCATCAGGCCCGTCACATCGAGGGTGACGAGATGCAAGTCACCTTTGCCCTGTCAAATTTGATGGGACGAGCAAAGACTTGGGCCTTAGGGCTCAAGCTTCACGACCCAAACGTGTTTGAGTCGTCGGAGATCTTGAAGTCTCGGCTTGAAGAGACGTTTGAGCCGCAGAGAGCCGAGTTCAAGGCACGCTCTGCCCTCTAGAGGCTAAAGCAAGGTAAGCGTGACTGCACGCTTACGCACAGCACCTGTGCTTCCTTGCACGTAGCGTTACGGATACCCTGTTAATGAGCATATGCTCATCAACGTATTCATCTACGGCCTTGTGGATGGGCCGGTGTAGACCCACATGTTCCGAGAGGACTTCCATACGCTGGGAAAGGTGATAGCGTATTCGGAACAAGAAGACTTCAGTCTGAGACAGTCTCAGGGATAACTCGTCCAACTATCGTCCGAAGAGGCGAAAGGAAACAGGAGGTCCCGAACCTATGGACCTCTGTTACATCGAGAGCGAGACCTCTAGCTGTCTGAGTCACAAGCAAACGGCAACATGCCACCGCTGTCAGAAGATTGGACACTACGCTCATGAGTGTAGTGTCCCGAGCACTGTAACGCGTCCGAAGACTGGACGTGATGACCACCGTTGGCCAAGGAAGGGTCAGAGGCGTGGGTACGACCATGTCACTAAGTCGCGACAGCAAGTCGGACCGCCAAAAACGGTCAGGGTCAGTAGGGGTGGAGCACCCTGCTGATCCAGCAACGTCAAAATAATTAGCAGGACTCTGGACGAAAACTACCCCCAACACACACTCGGTGTGTGTTACTGACCCTAGTGATGAGAAGTCCCTCATCACTTTGAAGATCGAAGTGAAAAGTGGAATGTCACTTCGCGCCCTAGTTGACTGTGGTGCGTCAAACGATTTTAGTCGAAGCCAGTCGCTAGAGGACAGTAAACTCAAGTATGTTGAGCGAGAGTTCTCTCCAACGAGGATGACGGTGTGCCTTGCTACAGGCGCATCCGTAGAAGTAAACAAACGTGCAGTGGGAATCCACTACACGCTAGAAGGAAAGCAAAACGATGATGACTTCATCGTATTAAAATTGGATGACAAATTTGATGTCATCCTCGATTCGCCATGGCTTGGAAAATACCAGCCATGGGTTTGCTGGCAGCATCGATCCGTGAAGATGCCTGCATTCTGTTCATAGGATGGCCATGTTATGAACGTCTTGGAGCGTTCACAAGCGTGTGGATGTACTACGAGTGAGTGTGATGGGCTCACTTGCGGTACGGTCGTTAGTACGATTGCACAAGATCACAGCGTAGAAGTCCACTGCACTGTGTAACCAACTTCCGGCACCTGTGTAGAGACACAGGATGCGCCGGAGGTTCACCACTCGAAGAGATCGAGTGGACTGGAACACGGATGCACACAAAGAAGGGTGCATCCGAGAAGAGAGACTAGTGCTATTCAGGATGGTCAACACGTTGAAGCGAGATCGAATATCAGAGAGTCGATCGTAAAGCAAACAAGATCGACTAATAGAGGGTCGATCGAAGAGGACGTGACCGTTATAGTACACGTAATGGAAGAAAATTCCGGCGTTAATGAGAGCAAAAACTCCCGATAGAGTTACGGTGAGGGTGTGGATCCCCAACTACTTGCGGATGTGTTTTCCCAGGAAATCACCGAGTCAGTTAATGTCTTGATGAATGACGGGCTTGTGTCTTTATCGACACCATCTTCCGACTTCATGGGTTGCCCCGTGAACTCGTATCAGACAGAGATCCACGATTCACTGCTGATTTCTGGCGTTCCGTGTTCAAATCACTCGGAACGCGCTTGAAGATGTCGACATCTGATCATCCAGAGTCAGATGGTCAGACGGAACGTGCCAATCGTGTCCTTGAAGAGATACTTCGAGGATACGTACACTCCTTTAAGAGTTGGAGTGAGTTTTTGCCAATGGTAGAATTTGCCACTAACAACTCGGTGCATGCGTCCACGACACATACGCCGTTTTACGTAAATGGCTTGCACCATCCGCGTGTACCCACCTTACTATAGTGTAACTCTGGTTTAAGGGGGGGAGGGACTCGCGCGAGCAAAAACAGATTTGGTTCACGCTCATCACGCTCTGAAAAAGAGGTCATTGCGTTTGATGCCGATATCGATAACATCGATATCGAAGAATATGATGCCAGTGAGAGCGAGGAAGCCCTCACTGAAGAAAAATATTGATGTCGCTGCAGTGCACTCACAGCGCACTGAAGCTAACGAGTCAGCAGATGAGTTCATACTGGCTCGTGAAACGGTAGTCAGTTTTGTGCTATACTCCATCGCCGAAGCGGTGGACAAGCAAAAGCAAAACGCAGACAAGAATGGAAGGGCAAACACTCTTTTATTTAATAAAGTTGACTTAGTCCTACTGTCTAAGGTTAATCTACCAAAGCATGTAGTGACTAACTTGGGAAGTAGTAAACTTCTACCCAAGTACATCGGTCCATTTCGTGTATTGCATCACCTAGGCAACGCATTCACGATCGAACTGCCATTTAAGATGCGAACGCATCCCACCTTTTACGTTGGTCGGCTTAATCCGCACCATCAGTGCGCTGCTTCTTCCGATGAAGAATGCCCTTGCGCTCAAGCATCTCACAGAGAGCCTTGTGCTCCCGATGGTGGGCATCTACAAGGGTATGAAGAGCAGCTATCTCATCCCGAGACCGATCAGCAATCCCACGAGCTACCCTTAGCTCGTCACGAAGAGATGTCAGAGATCTCTCGTTCTCGAGCTGAGCAAAGGCAAACTCAGCTCGATGCTTCGAGACTGTGTCCGACAGTTGAAGACGCCTGACCCGCTCATGCTCGAGGTCGCCGCGTAACGCAAGAGTTACGCGATCAAAGAAGCTCTCGGGAACACACCGATCCACATGATCGTGTGGAGAGCGCCTTTCCTCCTCCTCCACCTCCATTAGAGGACTCTCGCGGTGGCCAGCGCTATCTAGTTGAGCAGCTGTTGAACCACCGCGACGTGAACGGACGTCGGACGAGTTATCTCGTCCGGTGGCGCGGCTATCCCCCGTCCTATGATTCTTGGGAGCCCCGCTCCCAACTGATGATTGACGTACTGGGTCTGGTCGAGCAGTACGACGCGGCACATCCTGTGCCGCAGAAGGACCGCCGGAGAAAGTCTTCCCGGCACGGTCGTAAAGGGATTTCAGGTTGTCAATCCCTTCGTACATCTCAGTAGAGGCACGTACGCGCCACCACGGGATGGTAAGGAGGTAAGCCTCCTTAGGTGCTCGTGCAGAGTTGTTCACACAACATGGGCACGAGTGTCCCCAAGAGAGGCAGGGTCATCCTTTCTCCCTTGACAGACGATGCAGCTTGTAGCGTGCACCTGTCGGGGTTCGCTTTTCAAACTTATCACGAGCTTTGATAAGTTTGTCGTTCCAAGCGTCACGACCTACATCCTCGAGGTTATGGATGTAGGCGTTCCACGCCTGAAGTAGTGAGGTACCATCACGTTTGTGATTCCCACTGTACCATCGATGCTTAAAGAAAGCATCAACGAAGAACTCATGTTCAGTGCGATAGATTTTCGCGCTGGGATCAAGGTGATGGATCCTTGACGAATCGAACAATCGTGTTCGATAACGATCACTCGTCGTCGCCGACAAGTGATCCATGACTGATTTAGGAGGCATCCATGCCTTCTTCTCAGGAGCGAGACGCAACACATTGCGGTCCCGCTCTTCCTGCGACGTGCCGACAGAAGTACTGGCACCTCGCTGTGAAGTGGTGTCCATAGGAGAACCGACACCACTATTAGCGCCCGAGTCTCGCGATCTCGAGCGCCTTCGCTTTGGCAATGGTTCATTTTATTCGTCAGATGAACCAAAGATGCTGCGACGCAAAGCATCGTCCATGCCACGCTTGGCAGGCGGCTTGGATTCGATCGCCGTCGATACGGATCCGTCATCCGTATCAGGAGAGTACGAGACACCGAGCTCGTACTCTGTGAAGACACGAGTGTCTTCATGACCAGCGCCTGCATCACCAAGTGACACAGGCTGGGTCGCTTCAGCAACCGATGAGACATCAGCTGCTGTTGTTTCTGCTTCGGCGTCCGCACAGAGACGTGCAGACGCGCTCTCGGCGGCCTTGCTCGCGCATCGCATGGGCTTGTTTACCATGCGATGAAATGTTGGAAAGTGGACGCGGACCAACAAGCGCAAGCCCTGTCCCAAATGATTTGGGACGAGTATCCATTTAGTCAATCAGTCACTAAAGTGACTGATGGTAAGGGGGGGGGTGATGTAACGGGGTGAATCGTTACATAACAATTTATAAGAAATTGTTAATAGAATATAACTATAAGAGTTATATTCTCAGAATATTGTCATAAGGACAATATTCTGTAGCACTTACAAGTAGTTCCTAATTGGTTGATATAGGTCATTCTATCAATCAACGAAGACGCGCCACGACAGACGCACGCAATGAGTGGTGAGCAGATAGTTGATTTACACATTTGTATTTAGACATAGTTAGATGAAGATAAATAGTGATTTATTGCACACATTAACTATTATAAATACAGTTCTACTTTTTACTTTAACCAAGTACTCGCTTCTTCTTACCGTCTTCCTCTGCACGTACGAGTGTACGTGAAGTCACGAGGCACCGCCTTATTCTGTCATCAGAATAAGTAGCTTGTACTGTCATCAGTACAAGCTTCAGGGTGCCCCGTTACACCATCGGTATCATACAAGCTACTATATCGTGCATCTGATCTCTCTTCTTAAATGTAACATGAAGGGGTCTTAACTAGGTCTCAGGAGAGTTGTTTGTCTCTGTCGACAAGCTTGTCACGCGCTTGACGGGCTGACACTGCCGGAAGGCTATGTTACAACAATAAAACAGCAACAAAGGGTGAAAAACAGCAAGAAAAGTAAGGTCAAGGGAGTGAATCTGCGTTGCTCACGCGACGCTGTCCACGCTGGGCGATGTAGTGAGATAGTTCTATCATAGCACTCAAACACACTTAGAGGGTGAACGGCATACATATTAAGTATTTGTATTTTTACGATCGTCTATTTACACGTTAATGTGGAAGATGGTCTAAATACGTATGTATCATAAACGAAGTGCTGTCGTCGGACTTTTTGGGATGGTCCTCTTAAGAGGTGAGAGAGACGTGGTCGAGGGTGGGATGGTAATCACCTTAATCAAGCCGGTTTGAGGTTACAATTCAAGTGCTCTCACTTGTCGGAGGGGCTACTTTATGTGGACCTGCGGATATGACTGACTCAGTCTTGACTGTGAATATTTTTAAATTAAAAGAATAAAGTACAATGAAACAGAGTTACAATTTAGAGACTTTTTAAATTGACAAATTAGTCAATGAATGGGGTGAAGGATCAATATCGAAATCTGACGGATCGATGGCGAAAAGTGAATGCTCACTAGAGGCTCCCTACATTTTACACCTTCTACGGTCGAATTAGTCATGCAGATTAGATAAAACACAGTTTTACAACTAAAAGCGATTGCTGCAGGTTAAAACATTAACCGATTTAGAAACGCTACTACTCCTCATTGCGCTGAAATAATGGAAAGCATCTAGTTAACGCATCACCGTGCCTATGACGCGCCAGACTACACTTTTTCTCTTAACTGGCGTTATGGTTTTCGTTGTAGAACGGAGTGTACCTTTGGACGACGGCCTCCACACCGTCTTTATCGTCAGCAGAACCGGGCGAGCTCTTACGAAGTTTCAACAACTTTTGTTTTAGCCGATCAGGAGACATCGGGAAAAACCAAGAAAATTGCGCAAGTTCTGCCCTCTCCACCCAGATCCCCACCTCCTCGTCGTTACGAGCGAGGTTCAGCGCCATCGCCGCATCGTAAGGCGACAGTTTTTCTACTAAAGTGTAACGGATTTCCTCCGCAATCTGCTCGTCGTTCCCGTACACTTTCGTCGACGATTTCCGGTGCACAATGTCATGCAACGTCGCCACTTTCGTGTCAGTCTTGACGCTTGTCTTCAGTGGTCCGACGTCACGGATGATTGGCGGAGATGGCAGCGGCTGGCGAACTTTCTTGACAAGCGGATAAGTGGGCGAGGTGTGGTACTGAAGAAGCCTTTTCAAGACGGCCTTCACACTTTCGCTGTCGCGGGCGGTTATAGACGGAAGGTGATATGGACCGAGCCATTTCGATTCCAGTTCGTGATGGTCCATGGATCGCAACCAACGAAATTGCGCCTGCTCAATCCTCTCCGCCCATTTCCCTACCAACGCGTCAGTACGTGCCAGTTCCAGCGCTATCATCGCATTAACAACGTTCAGTCTGTCAACCAAGACGTAACGGATATGCTCGGCAACTTGCTCCTCCGTCCCGTAACGGTTCTCCTTGACTGCCTGATCTACAGTGTCTTGCAAGGTCGTTACTCTCCCATCAACCTTAGGGATTGTTTTTGGATAGGATGCTCCCATAATGGTTGGCGAAGGTAGTTCCTGGCTGGGGTCCTTTGGCAACGAAGATGGTTGCAGCTGGTGAAAATTCTTGCCAGGCGAAGAATGTGTCGGTTGTAGGGCTTCCTTGGAAGACAACGATAATCGGGGTGGGACGACCTTTTTGGGGGACGGAAACGTGGCGAGAGGCGAACTCATTGAAATTGATCCGAGGGGTTCCAGCTTTTCTGCCGCGGCTTTCTCCTTCGCGAGAAGGGATTCCAACAAAGCCTCCGGAAATCGCTCTTCTTCGTTGTCCTGGGCGGCCGTGTCTGAAATCAGCATTCTTTCAGGCGGGTGGTCCTCGGGCGTGGCAGCGCCAGGTATCGCGACTTTCGCAACGCGAAAGCCAGAGGCGCAGCAGGTAGTGGTGAATAGATTGCCGCTGACAAACAGAGCACGAAGGTGGACAAATTTCATTTCTGCCTTGGACGATGGAGGGGAAAGCTCACTAGTTGGTAGGGCGCGGATTGTGCAATGAACGGAGTCGATGAGTACCCAGCGACCCAGAAAATACATATTCGGTGCAGCAGTTGCAGGAGAGACTGCTCGTCCTCAGACGATGGACAGACGGCCTTCGGACCTCTGTGTCGCAGCTGCAAAAAACACTGCACATCATCAGGGTACGTCCTGATAGTGGCCAGACCAGCGGGCGCGCAATCATGCGCTAACTGAGATTGTAATCTGGACCTCACTATGAGTGAACAAGCCGTGGATACAGAAGGCTAGTGGGAATACTCGCGCGGTAGCTGCCCAACTACAGCTCCTCACATCTCACACAAACTTTGGATGGTTCAAAATTTTAAACGACCGCACCTTTACATCAGTGGGCTATATCTTCAGTACTTCAATCCACGTGGCACAGTCTCTGTTCGTAAGGGGGAGAATGGCGCAACTACCGACCAGCTTCGAGGTGCCCACTCGCAGAAAAGTTCCTTCTCAAACGTGGATCGAACCTGCATCTACCACCGATCGAGACGTCCATGTCCAGGAACCAGATGTGGCATCAGGCTGCGGCGTGTTGAGCCCAGAGCAAAAGAACTGGTCGTCGGGCAAAGAACGTTTCAGTTGATTCGTGCGGATGCTACTGCTGAGCACATCTTACCAGGTAGCTCGCATGTCCAGTACTCTGGTGCCGTCTTAACTGTTAATATACCTAGTGTGCCTTACTGTGCAAACAGCCTTATGTACCAGTCGATAAATGGGATCATCCAGCTGGGCAGAGACTCGAAGATGCAGTACAAGTAAGACACACAGACGATAGTAAAGATTGACACACCCGTGGCTTGCAGAGGGGTGATCGGTCCGCGAGCCTTGCTTGAGAGGGTCTTGCGGAGTCAAAGGTAAAATTGAGAATGTATTGAATACCATGTTAGCCTACCGTGCCTACCTGAATGCTTCATCTAATTCCATCTATCCATCAACCATTCATCAATCCATCCATCCGATTGTTCTTCGCTTAGTCGTAGCTTGGTCGTGGAGTAGGATCCATCCATCATTAACCAGTGTATGAGGCAGTTATGTCATACTCCCCCCATGAAGCAATTACACTAGTACGGGAAGATGCGACGAATCGATAGCCGTTGCGTCGTCGCGCCTTTGTCAATAGTGACAGTTCCATTTTCATGCACAATGCTAATGGGGTAGGGCCCATCTGCCACTTCCATAGTCTTTGCGCGAAACTGTTTAGGTCTTCGAATCATTATGTGGTCGCCGGGATGGTAAAAGTGCACGAGCCGTTTGGTATTTTCGCGTGTGTTGTCAGCTAGGATAGCCCGAAACCGCCGTTTTGACAGGTAACTCCAATTTGCCTCGTGCAGTTGACGTGAAATCATGTCTTGTCCAAAAATGAGTTGTCCCGGAGATGCATTGAGTATGCTATGATAGCTCGCACGCACTGCAAAAGCAGCGTAATGAATGACCTTCTTCCAATCTGCGCCTGTGTGACAACGGATGACGTTCAATATTTCCAGATGCACACGCTCACAGATTGCATTCGCTTGCGGATTCTTTGCTGTGATTGGCTTTGATTTCAAACCGTAACTGCGCAGTAGTTCCTGGAATTCTTCTCCTGTAAACTCCAACCCTTGGTCATGGACAACTTGTCGTGGACGTGGGTAGCGGCAAAGCCACTCACGATCAAAACTTTCAGCCGTCGTCAGCGATTCTTTATTTGGCTGTACAGCAACTTCCAGCCACCGAGTAGCTTGATCAATTATAGTTATCCCGTAATAGCCGCCGTCGTATGGTCCGATAAGATCAACGTGTACAATATCGAATGGGTTGACGGTTCTATTGGTCCGTGGTGGTAGAAGTCCGTAGGCTTGTTTCCCTCCGTGTAACTTCGAGCGCTTGCACTTATGCAAGTAACTTCCATCGCTTCACTCGAAGACTTGTCTCATTGGGGTAGATCAAGTTTTTGTGATCCGTATGGACCACGACGGGAAATCCGAGGAGCATCGTTCGGTATTCGCGTAACAGCTCAACGATCGAAAGGAGCTCCAGCTCCATGGTGGTATAGTTGATCTGGTGCTTGGTGAGACTGCGCGAGTAACATGCCAGAATTTTGTTGCCTGCATTATCAGTCCACCGATCTGAGTTCCGCTAGCATCCGCGTAGACATGGAACGGCTTCTTAAAGTCAGGGAACGCTAACAGGACGGCCTCTGCAAACGCACGCTTGATGTCTTGAAAGGCCTTCGTATCGCTGGGTAGCCATGTAAAGGGTACCTTGGCGCTTGTGAACCGATATAGCGGCTTGCATACGGTTGTCTTGTTTGGAATCATGTCGCGGTAGTAGTTGATCATGCCTAAGAAACGTCGAAGCTCTTTTCGGTTGCGTGGCACTGCGATCTTTTGAATGGCCTGGGTTTTCTTTTCTTGAGGCTTCATTCCATCGGTCTATAGCGTAAACCCAAGGTAATCAACCTCCTTGCACCAAATATGGCACTTTCTTCCATTTAGCGAAACGCCGTAGGTCTGAAGGCGGTCGAAGAGTATGCGCAAATGAGAGAGATGGTCTTCGTCTGTACTGGAAAATACTAGCAGGTCATCCAGATACACCACGATGAACGGCAGGTCACCAAAGATACAATCCATGCACGCTTAGTATTCGTCAGGGGCTGTCGATATACCCATCGGTAGTCGCTTGTACTGGTATTTGCCGAATGGCAAACAAAAAGCTGTCAATGGGCGGCTTGTTCGAGCTAGTCTTCTGGCATAGTATCCATGGTTTGCGTCGGACGTTGAAAGACACCTTGCGTTGGACAAGCGCATAAGGATTTCTCTAATGCGCGGGACGTAGTATGGACTCCTTCGTAGATACTTGTTAAGCCCACGATAGTCGTTTAGCAGACGCAGTGATCCATCTGGCTTGGAGACGAAAAATGCGGGTGATGCCATCTCCGCGTCATAAATTTGCTCTAGAACGTCAGCACTGATAAGCCGCTGAATGGTCTCCTTGGCTTTGTTTTCCTGGCTGCGCGCGATGGGGTAGGCCTTCGCATGAACAGGCTTGTAATCCGGTTGGATAGGCAGCTCGTAGTCGGGAAAGCGCATTCTTCCGAGATGTCCGTCGTAAAGCCTTTTGTACTCGACTAGTAATGCCAAGCATTTAGCCTTCATGTTAGGGTCAAGATGATGAGGCAGGAAAGTCTCTGGCTGGACTCCAGTTGTGGGTGTTTCCTTCATTTCGTCTTGAAACTCGAGGTCTTCGTTGTCCAACTTGGGTCTTTTCGCTTTCTCTTGCCCTGTGTTAAGCCGGAGCAAACAGTCGTCCCATTGCACCAGCCTGTCTTTAAAGTTCAAAACCAGGCCTAGTGCGTTCATGACATCTCTTCCAATAACCATGTTATCGCTGCTCGACTTGATCACTTCGAATTGGTGCGTGATGATTGTCTCTGGCTTTAGTTGTGGGAAGAAGAACTGTGTCACCACCGTTCCATTGCTTGGTACTGCGCCGCGCATAGTGTCAAAGATAGTGGAGGATGTCGTAACATTCTGTCGACCCAGCTTCACAATACCAGCAAGTGTCGCACCATTGACAATACTCTTCGATGCTCCACTGTCGAGCAGGGCTTCGGTAGCATCTTGATTGCGATGCAGCTTGACCATGATGCGTAATGGCGCACTGGAGACTGTTCTGTCCTTTTCCACTAAACCAACGAACTTGAGCTCTTGTTCTTCCCCTGCCGCATCCGACTCTGACTCCGATTCGTTGTCAAGATTAACTCTTCTTGAGATGCGGGGGTACTTTGGGTTCGGTGTGCGATGTTTTTGCGACCGTGCTTCGTTTTTCTTGTTCTCCTCCGATTGCTTTTTCTTCAAAGTATAACAGTCACTCGTATTGTGCGAAGCTGTCTTGTGGAACGAACACCAAGTGTCGTGTTTGTGATATTTGTCTCTTTGACTGCGTGCCTTTTCCTCAGGCTCTTCTCGCCGGTTATTCTGTCCTTCTTGTTGCCCGTGTACTCTGCGCTGATTCTTTCTCTGCGTGTTGCTGTATTCTTTAGTGTTTGGTTTCTTGTCACGGGTGATCGGCTGTCGCTCGTCTTTCTCGATCCGTGTGAAATAAAGGACAAGTTCATTAAAGTGGTCGAATACGACGCCTGCTGCAGACAACTTCTCTTGCCATGCTCGGGGCATTCCGCGCTTGAAGTAGCGACATTGCTGAACCTCCGGAATTTCTTCAGCATTCTGTGGCAGCTCAGCAAACAACCGAATGTTTTCTCTGAGTCGCTGCGAGAATTTGAGCACAGTCTCATCTCTTCGTTTCACCATTGTCCACAGTTCGTTGTCCAAGTCTTCACTGTAGTCGTGCGGGACAGATAGTAATCCCACATCCGTAAAGAACTGTTCAAAATTCCTTCCGTGCTCAACTGCGTCTTGAGCTATTACTTCGACTTCCGTTGCGAGGTCGCCGTCAATAAGCGCGACCATGTTGTGTGCCTTCTGCTCATCGGTCCACTGCTTCTTTCGGGCGAGGCGACGGAATTGGTTGCTCCAGCGAAGCCACTCACGTGGGGATCCTCCTGCGAACTTCTTGATCTTGATCGTTGCCGTATCTGCGGGGAAGCCGTCACTTGCGGGTGTTATCACCATGGTGTAGGTGACGTACTCGTCTTCATCTTGGCGTCCCATGCTGCTGACACCTTGTTTCCTTCTCCGATCTTGCACAGATTTGATATATCAAAATGACACACCCGTGGCTTGCAGAGGGGTGATCGGTCCGCGAGCCTTGCTTGAGAGGGTCTTGCGGAGTCAAAGGTAAAATTGAGAATGTATTGAATACCATGTTAGCCTACCGTGCCTACCTGAATGCCTCATCTAATTCCATCTATCCATCAACCATTCATCAATCCATCCATCCGATTGTTCTTCGCTTAGTCGTAGCTTGGTCGTGGAGCAGGATCCATCCATCATTAACCAGTGTATGAGGCAGTTATGTCAAGATGATGGGGTGCCAACGATGAACGTAGCACTCGAATTCTGGATTCTCGTGTCAACAAGTGGCAGACTTGGCTTCTTCAAGAGCGATGGTGACGAACGATCAAAGCACACAGAGCCAACGCTTGTGCATAATCAAGCCCATCAATATGACAGAATGCGCCTGTATCGTCAAATGCCTGAGAAGTCAGCGTTATAATTACGGTCACTGTCGATGGGACTGCTGCGGTACTGTAACGGGGTTGCACGTAAAAGGGTACTTTGTACCAGGTGTGTCACACACCTGATGGTGCCCCTAGGAAGGTGATAGAGAATATCTTATCGGTTTATAGGGGCTGACGAGTGTCATCCATTAGGTACGAAAGATCTTTGAGTAGGATTAAGATATTCTATAAGTTTTAACATTAAATAAAATCAGTTCCCATTTTGATCTAAAGGACACGTGGCTTGCGAGCCGTCTTGATCGTTGATCACTGATCACTAAGAGTTAACAACACCTCCTTGAGATAGCTACTCTTGAGCACTGAGTGCTGTCGATTCACTGAGTCGTTAGGTATCCTGGAACAGGGACCTGAAGCTGTAAAGCTTGTTGACTCGTAGAGTCGTTAGTTCTTTAGAACTAAGTTGCTCGTAGAGCGTTAAGTCTTCCTCTGACTTAAGGAGCTGTGTAGCTCCGCAACACTTGGTAGCACTCGTAGTCAATCTACGCCTGAGTCTTTAAGACTGATCCTCTGTGAGGATGGAAAACCCACTCCCCTCTCTGAGGCCCAAAGGGTCACGCTTGATAAGCTGACCGCATCTTTAGGTACAGAGTGCGTGGAGTTCCTTGTTTCACAAGGTCCTGAAGTGCTTAATGCACGTGTTGAAAGCTTCATGCAGTATGAAGCGGCCCTTTTAGAACAGGTCCAAGACCAAGTAGCGTCGGCTATGCCTACACGCTATGTGTCTGTACCAGACGAAGAGGCTAGGCCTCGTCCACTAAGAGTGGAAGTGAAAAACTACTCCGGTAAGGAGGGTGAGAACCTCATCCTCTGGATCCGTGAGATTGAGATGGCCATGAGATCAGGCCTGATCACGCTTGACCATCAACAGGTCTCGCTGGCTATCTCGAAGCTCAATGGAAGAGCTAGAGAATGGGCCTTGACGTGTAGCACGTCGGTGGACATAGCGTTTCCCTCATGGGATTCGCTCAAGTCACAATTGGTTCAGGTGTTCTCACTACCTAACCAGGCTTACCGCGTGCGTTCACGCTTTCCTTCTGCCCGCCAGGGTAAGAATGAACTATCGGACTATGCCCAAGAGATGCGAACGCTCATGGCTGCAATGCAGTCTGACCCTCTGCCTGAGGCAGTCCATGTGACTATCTTCATGGAAGGTCTAAGTTCTGGCATTGCCAGACCCGAGGTTTTTCGGGTTCACCCCTCTGCCTTTGAAGAGGCTGTGAGAATTGCTCTTAATGCTGAGCATAACTTCAAGTCGGCCAGACTGGGTGGGAATGGGTACAACCTCGCTCTGTGAGAGCAAACTCTTCGGGTACCACTGCCTATAATAGGCCGGAACCGATGGATCTCAGCTATGCTGAAGATGAAAATGAAGCTGAGCTTCAAGCTGCTGAGCAGCAACACGTCGTACGCCGATGTTTTACGTGCGGAAGCACTAAACAATTGCGGCATGGTTGCCCTTTGCGTAAGCAACGCCAGGCTACAAGCCAACACTCGACCCCGAGTCAGAAGTCTGGCATGGCACGTGGAAATGCCGACATCCGGTAGACGCGGGGCGCCCCACTGGGGGAGAACTAGGTTCTGTTACACCTTTAGAGGGCAAAAGAAGGCAGAGCTTATCCCCAAGGAGATCCGTACCTACGGGTATGGTGCGTGGATACAAGTCCGGCTTGTTGGTCGCCGAGGCGAAAATTAAGGGTTTTAATAAGCCTTGGGCGATAGTGATCGATTCTGGAGCGTCTTGCAATTATGCTCGACGTCGTTCCCTTGAGGGAAGTCAGCGTTATGCAGAGGCGCTTACAGCGCAGGAGGGTGATTCCATCACAGTTCGTTTAGCGACTGGAAGTCGTGCTACTGTGCCTAAAGTTCCACTGAACTTAGGTATAAAGTTTTTAGACTTTGACAGTATTGAGCGCTGGCTTGTCCTAGATTTGGACTCGAGATGTGATCTCATCCTAGGAATGGCTTGGCTTGAACGCCATGAGCCGTGGACTGATTGGATGTCTAAGACCTTAGGCGGTACGCGCAATGTTCCAAGCGAAGTTTTGAAGAGTCATGAACCCACCATCGCTAGGCAACAGAAGCACTACTGGCGCGAGCCTTTAACTGAAGATGTCAATGTGCTGGATATTGGAATGTCTGATTTATAGAACTCCAATGTTACCAACATAAGTTTCGAGCATAGCTCGTCTAAATTTAGTGAAACGGCACGTACTCCGTTCAGTGTTACTCGTTTTGATAACGAGTCACCGCATGCTGAAAGCATGGTTGGCCTAGGTCCGAGTGATCAAGGATGTGATTCCTTTGATGTGTGTATGGTGGCACGTGAAACTACACCGAGTGCGGTCGGCCGTGAGAGCAACGCACTTCATGTCGGCAATGACATTGTTGGCCATATGCCATTTAGTGTGGACGGCCGTGAAGGCACCACACTTAACGTTGGTAATGACGTTGTTGGCGATACGCCGTATAGTGTGGGCGGCCTTGAGGGCACCACACCTAATGTCAGTAATGACATTGTTGGCGATATGCCATATAGTGTGGGCGGCCGTGAAGGCACCACGCTTAACGTCGGTAATATTATTGTTGGCGATACGCCGTATAGTGTGGGCGGCCGTGAGGGCACCACACCTAATGTCGGTAATGACATTGTCAGCAAGACGCTGTTAAATTTAGGGCTAGACCTGCATAACACACGTGGAGTGGCACGTTTAAATCCACTTGGCGAAGTGTTCGAGTTATGTAACACTTCACCGGATGTAGGTCAAGACATAAGCTCTCGTATAGAGCGTACTATGGTCGGTAGTAACCATGTGGACAAAACCGTCCCGACCCCTAAGGGGTGTAAGGTCTCGAAGAGACGATCGAGACGGCGAGTAGCAACTATAAAGCGCCAGGCGTCCACACAGTCACATATTGATAATAGTAATACACTATATGCACTTGTTAATGGAGTGACTGGTCAGGTTGATGGCATTGTTTGCCTTGAAACCCTTCCATCTTTGGACGCTCTTTGTGAGCCAGACGAAATGTCTGATGGCAAGTTTAACCAGGCCTTGAAGGCAGAAGAGTTATCCGAATTAGCGGTCATTAGACCTGATACTGAGTTGAACTCTTCCTCGTTAACGGATGAGTCTGTCCTAGAGGATACAAAGGCGGCACTTGGTGCACGAAGTGGATCTTCGATCCTTAAAGATCCTTTGGATCCGTTCTATCCTTTAGTTAAGGAATTTCAAGATGTGGTGTGTCACAACCCACCTTCTGCCTTACCTCCCGATAGAGGTGTACGTCGTGAAATTGACTTGGTTCCTGGAACTAAATACTGCGTAACACGGCAGTGGCCTTTGCCTAAAGAACAGTGTGACGTCATTGACGATTTTTTTTCGTGCTAAGCAGGCGGCTGGAATGTTTCGTGAGAGTAAATGTTCCCATTCAACACCGACATTTTGTGTCAAAAAGCCAAATGACAAGTGGCGTATTGTACATGCTTATAATAAGCTTAATGCCGCCACTATACCGGCGCAGACGCCTACTCCTAGAAAGGGTGTTCTTCAGAACAAAATGGTAGGATTACATTTTACAGTGCACTCGACTTAGTCGATGATTATTACCAACTGCTCATGCGAGTAAGATATATTCCACTAACAGCGGTGAGTACTCCGAGCGGTATGCTCTGGGAGTGGCTCGTTATGCCACAAGGGCTATCTAACTCCCCGGATACGTTTAACCAGCTGGTAACGCAACTGTTTAGACCTCATCGAGGCTATGAACAAACGTGCTTTGATGAAATTTTTGTCCGTAGTCGTGCAATGAATGGGCGATCAGATGTGGATAACCACATTGATCATTTACGAGCGGTGCTCGAGTGTATGCGGACAAATAAGTTGTATACTAACGCATCTAAGTACATCTTTGGTGTAGAAGAGATTCCCTTTCTAGGGTGCTTCATTGGGAAGCGAGGCCTTCGAGCGGATCCCGCTAAGTTAAAAGCCATAGTTGATTGGCCGGTTCCCAAGAACCAAAAGGACTTACGTAAGTGGCTTGGTCTTGCCAATTACTTACATAAGTACAGAGCGAATTACGCAAATATGGCTCGGCCGTTGTCCAATCTCCTTAAAAAGGATGTGGACTGGTATTGGGGTAATACCGAACATGATGCTTTTGAAGCAGTTAAGGAGAGTCTCCTTTATGCGCCAATATTGGCTTTGCCCGATTCTGGTCGGCCTTTCAGTGCCGTCTGTGACGCATCTGACTTCGCCATAGGCAGTGCTCTGTTACAAACGGATGTCGATGGGCGCGAACGCGTCATCGCATTCGAGTCTTGGCAGCTGAAAACTGCTGAAAAGAACTATCCAGTTCATGACAAAGAGCTACTTGCTGTGAAGTACGCTCTTGTCAGATTCAGAGTACATCCGTTTGGCTCAAAGCCGTTTGTGATCGATACAGATCATGCGTCATTACGAATTTCGACAC